ACCTCCGGCGGTAGTGGCCGTGGTGGCGGCCCGCGCAGCTCGGTGTCTACCGGCGGCTCCGGTGCTGTCACTTGCTAGTACCAGCTTCAGACCGGGCCTCTTCGTGGCACTCTGTGCCGCCGCCCGCAACCGACCGCCCGCTGTTTCCGCCGCCTCGACGATCTCTTTCGTCGTCGCTTTGGCCCGGCCCCGGACCTCCCCGACTGGCACAGCCTGCTCCGCCAGGGAGTGCCGATCTTTGAGTTAGACATGGATCAGATAGGTGCAGCCTTGCATGCCTTGTATTTTGACGCTTCTAGTGTTGCTGGATCTTATTACCCAGTGTACTCTAGTTTAGGTGTTGCCCCCTTGTGTAGCTTAGCCTCCCCTGCTGCGTCAGGCGTAGGACTGCCTTGTTTGCCTAGCCTGGTCTCTGCACCGGCTTTGTTCCCGGCCTCCGCCGAGGCTTCGCTGTCCTTCACTCTCGACTCCGGTGCCTCTGCCTGCTTCTTCCGCGACCGTTCCGCGCTCACGCCGCTTGCTACGCCTGCTGTTGTCTCTCTCAGTGACCCCTCTGTGGGTCCTGTCGTCGCTCGCAGTTCTACGTCCCTTCCCTGTCCAGCAGTTCCCTCGGGCTCCCTTACAGGTCTTTACGTTCCCTCATTCTCGAGGAACCTGGTTGGTGTGGGCTGTCTCCAGGACCTCGGCGTCACCACCATGTTCCCCGGGCACGAGCGGTTCGCTGTCTGTTCTGATTCTGTCTCAGGTTCCCCCCTTGCGACGTTCCCCCGGGACCCGGTGTCCGGTCTGTTCACCCTAGACACCGCTTCCCCCCGGTTGGTGCGTCCTCCTTGGTCGCTGCAGCTTGCTCGTGTCGGTCCCTCACTCACCCGTCCCTTTTGTGGCACCACCGCCTAGGCCACCCTGCTCTCCCGCGTCTGCGTCACATGTCCCAGCACGGTCTTGTCTTAGGTCTCCCTGCATCGCTCCCTGCCCTTCCTCCCTCGCCTGTGCCACCGTGCACGCCTTGCGTCGAGGGCCGGCTCTGCCGCTCTCCTCACTCCTCCTCGCTGCGCCCTGACACTGCCCCCCTTCAGACCCTGCACCTGGACGGTTGGGGCCCTGCCCCCTTCCCCGGACCGCGAGGTGAGCGCTACTTTCTTGTGCTCGTCGACGACTACACGCGCTACACCACGATGTTTCCCCTGGAGCGGAAGGCCGACGTGCCCAGCGTTCTTCTCCCGTGGGTCGTGGCTGCGCGTCTTCACCGCGGTCTCCCCGTGTTGTGTCTCCACTCTGACCGTGGCGGCGAGTTCGCCTCTGGTCAGCTTGTCGTGCGGAGGGCATCACCCAGTCGTACACCTTGCCGGACTCGCCACAGCAGAATGGGGTTGCTGAGCGCCGCATCGGCTTGGTCATGGAGGTCGCCCGTACCTCCATGATCCATGCCGATGCCCCCCATTTTCTGTGGCCGTTCGCTGTTCGCTACGTTGCTCACCAGCTTAACCTGTGGCCCCGCTCCTAGCGGCCGCAGGTTTCGCCGACCCTCCTTTGGACCGGGTCCCCCGGTGACGCGTCTGCGTTCCATGTCTGGGGCTGCCTTGCTCACGTTCGTCCCTCTGGCACGGACAAGCTCACTGCCCGCACTGTCCCCTGTGTCTTCCTCGGTTTCCCCCTGGACTCGTCTTACTGTCTTTTCTACCACCCGCCGTCTCACCGCTTCCTCCACTCTCGTGACGTCAACTTTGACGAGTCTGTCTCCTTCTACTGCCGCTTCCCTCACCGAGGTCTCCCGGTTGCCCCCCCTCCTGTTCCTTGCTCCCTCTCCCCTGGTAGCCCCTGCCCCTCTCCCGCCTCGTCCTGCCCCGTCTGGTGTCTCTCACGTCACTCCCCTCCCGCCGGTTGTCCCCGTTGACGAGTCGGCTGACTCTGGTGGTACCCCTGGCCCGTCCTTGCCGCGTCCCCCTTCCCCGGTGTCTCCGCCTCCACTGTCGCAGTCGCCAACCCCGCCGCAGCCGCCACCGCCGTCGCCGCTGATGCCGCCGCCGCCGCCATCGCAGCCGCTGTCGTCGCCGCTACTGCCGTCGCCGCTCTTGGCCCCTGGGGGTGCTGGCATTGAGGAGGGTGTTCGTCCTGTGGCTCCTGGGGGTGCCGCTGGTGTTGGCGGGGGTTCTCGCTCTGGGGGTGTTGGCTCTGGGGGTGCTGCCGTTGAGTGTTCTGCCGACGGTCGTCCTGCCTCTGCCAGTGTGAGGTTTCCGGCCCAGCCGTCGCAGCAGCCGCAGCAGCCGTCGCCGCCGGTCTCTGCTCTCTGCCTGCTCGGCCTTCCCACCCCGGACCGCGCGCCGGTATCTCCCCCACCGCCTGTTGACCTTCCTGTCTATGGTCCTGTGTTCCCGCCGCCGGACTCGTCTCCGGCCCGTCTTCCTCCTCGTTCCCCTCCTGTGTCCCCTCCACTGTCTCCTGACCCTACACCTCCGTCCCACGTTTGGTCTCGCTGTCCCTCCCGTACTCGTCCCGTCTCTCCTGTCCTGCCCACCCACCCTATGTTGCTCCGTTCCCGCTCGTCTCATCCTCCCCTCCTCCCGTCCCCTCCTCCCTCGTCCCTTGCTGTTGCACCTCCTCCGTTCTCTGACTACCTCCATGCTGCTCGTCCCCTTGTCCCTCGGGTCCTTGCCTCTCTTGTTACCGATCCTGCTGTTCCTGTCTCGCGCCTTGACGCGCTTGTCGCTGTTGTCACTGACTTTGCCTCTACCCGCCACCTTGACTACGCCACCGCTCTGGTCTCTGACCCTGCCCATCCTCCGTCCGTCGGGGGTGCTCCTGCCCTTGGCAATGACGTCCTAGAAGACAGGTAGTACGAGCTTGCTTTCCTGTCCGAGGCTGCTCCCCATCTCTGCTCAATGCTATTAGTCCCTGAGGGTGACCCAGACGCCTTCGACATCCCGACCCCTCGCACCTACGCTGAGGCCACCTCGGGACCTTGGGCCTCTCAGTGGATAGCTGCCATGGAGCAGGAGATGGCATCTTGGAGGTCCACCGGCACTTACGTCGACGCAGTTCCCCCGCCTGGGGTGAATGTAGTCGATGGTCGGTGGCTCTTCAAGGTGAAGCGCCCCCCTGGAGAGCCGCCTGTTGTCAAGGCGCGCTACGTGGCCAGAGGTTTCAGTCAGCGCGAGGGGGTTGACTTCTTCCAGACCTTCGCTCCGACCCCGAAGATGACCACTCTTCGGGCGCTGCTACACGTAGCAGCACAGCGTGACTACGAGCTTCACTCCCTCGACTTCTCTACTGCCTTTCTTCAGGGCAGCCTACACGAGCAGGTCTACCTGCGCCGACCATAGGGCTTCACTGGTACCCTCCCCCCTGGGACCCAGTGGCTGCTCAGGCGTCCGGTCTACGGCTTGCGTCAGGCTCCTCGCGAGTGGCACGACACGCTGCGGGCCACGTTAGCAGACATGCAGTTGTTTCCGTCCTCTGCTAACCCCTCGCTATTTGTGCATTCCGGCCAGACTCTGTTCTACATCCTTGTCTACGTAGACGATCTGGTCTTCGCTACTGCTGACAGGGATGCACTGGCCTCTATGAAGGCCGAGCTTCTGAAGAGACACATCTGCACTGACCTTGGAGAGCTGCGTCGCTATCTTGGCCTGCAGATCTCTATGGACAGAGCAGCACGCACCATCACTCTGACACAGTCACACTTGGTGCGTCAGGTCCTTCAGAGGTTCGGTCTTCAGTTCTCCTCCGCACAGCCCACACCTCTACCTGTAGACCATGGGCTCTCAGCTCCCGTTCTTGAGGAGCCCGTAGAGCTCAGTGGCCCCTACATAGAGCTGGTGGGTTGCCTCATGTACCTAATGACTTGCACTCGCCCAGATCTCGCATACCCTCTCAGCATCCTGGCTCGCTTTGTGGCTACAGGCAGACACCGACCTCAGCACTGGTCTGCCGCTAAGAGGGTTTTGCGTTATCTTGCTAGAACATCGGGCATGGGGGTAGTGCTAGGAGGACGCAGGCCAGTGGTCCTTACTGGGCACAGAGAAGCTTCTTGGGCAGACGACTCTGAGACGCTCAGGTCATCGCAGGGCTACTGTTTTAGCCTTGGTTCGGGTGCTATCTCTTGGACATCCACTCGCTCGTCGTCTGTGGCTCAGTCCAGCTGTGAGGCTGAGATCTACGCTGGTGCCATGGCGGCACAGGAGCTTCGCTTGCTGACCTTCTTGCTCACAGACTTATGTGAGCAGCCTAGCTCTGCCCCGGTCCTGTACGCTGACAACAGGGCCATGATACTCCTGTGTCAGGAGCCTCGGCTTGAGGGCAGAGCGAAGCATATCCAGCTGCGGTACTTCCTCCTGCGCGAGCTACAGCAGCACCGCCAGGCGCGCGTAGTTCACTTGGCCTCAGGTGCCAACACAGCTGATATCTTTACTAAGGCGCTTGCGCCTAAAGTTCATCAGCGGCACTGTGTACAACTTGGTCTTGTTCCTGTAGCTACTCACCTGTTAGGATCCTGATTGTGTACTCTCTATTATATATGCCTGTTAGACTGGCCTTGTGGCCTCTCCCAGTGGCTGGACTAGTAGTGCCGCCCTGGCTTGCTTTAGTCTTGTTTGTACCCTTGCTGACTGGTCTCTAGACCCCTGCCTCAATGGTTGGACTAGTAGTGCCACCCTGAGCTGTTTGCTTCTTGCTTAGCTTCACCCCTTGTCTAGCCTAGGGGGTGTGTCAACTTATACATATTAGCTGTGTACAAGTTATAGGCTAGACTGGGGTATGCTTCTAGTGAGTACAACCAACTAGTATTTGTTCTAGGTTTCTACTTCTAGTTCATCATTCAGTTCTAACTTTGACAATACCAGCCACTAACTACACGACTTCATCATCATTGCCGTGTTGTGCAAGGAGTGGTGCGGCGCCTAAACTAGACATCAAGATATTGAAAAATTCTGTAGTTGAACCCTTGTACTAGTATGTAAGAACAAGTGATTGATTGAAAGAGCAAGCATACAGCAATATATAGAAGTAGGAAAGTGAAGCAGTTGTAGAATACATTTGAAAGGGCGGTTATCGAGTCGCACAGCGACTCGATTGTCGCTTCGGTTACCATCCTTGCAGTTGTAACGGTCAGTCGCAACCTCCGGTTGCAACCCTTCGAGTCCTTTCGTGTTCTTTGTCCATTCCCTCGTGTAACCTCCGTTGACTCGTGTACCCGTTACGATCTTCCTCGAGTGTGGTGTTACACTTCAGAAACGCTCAAGTCCTCGAGATATTTCCAACACTCCCCTTCGTTTCTGGAGTGCTGCTGTGTCCGGATTCGGTGATGTTTATCTGCCCGGTCAGTAGCATGCAGTAATCGAACTTTGCTTTCACTAGTTTCTTCGTCAGGTAGTCTGCAGCCATTTCTGTCGTGGGGCAGTAACTGAGTTGAAGTCTCCCCTTCGCGATTTCATCTTTGACGAAGAAATACCGCAGGGCGATGTGCTTGGTTCGGTTGGCGAAACCGTCCTTGTTCGCGATTTTGATCGCAGATTGGTTGTCGCAGAGAAGTGAGAAGACGGGTAGGGTCGCAATCTTTGCTTCCTCGAGTAACTCTCGCAGGTAAAGTCCTTCCTTGGTTGCAGTGCAGAGGGCGATATATTCTGCTTCAGCCGAAGATAGTGCGATTATTTCCTGTTTGCTCGACTGCCAGGAGATAGTCCCGATAGGCTCTAGTCGGTAGATGTAGCCCGTCCTTGAGCGTCGATTTTCCCTGTCTCCCGCGTGGTCGGCGTCGACGTATCCGAGTAGTTGTACGGACGATGTCGTTACTTTACTGTAGGTAAGTCCGGTCGGCGTAGAGACGAAGTAGAGTAGTGCCCGATTAAGTTCCTCGAGATCTTGTTCCGGCTGCTTCAGATGCGTCGCCAATTGGCTCACGCTGTAAGATAGGTCAGGTCGGCAGGTTACTGCTGCGAACAGTAGGCAGCCGAGTTTCTGCTGATACTCCTGGATTTGCTTCGAGGGGAGATTTACGGAGGTGACATTGTTATTCCCGTAGCGGTAGGGAGTCGTGACTGTAGTCAATGTTAGTCCGAATTTCTTCGCGACAACGCCTGCGTATTTTCCAGCATATAGGTAGAACGCCGAGTTGTCTTCGACGACGTTCAGACCCAGGTAATGGGTCACGGTGTCAGACACCGTGAGTGTCAGGTCACTTCTCAGCTCCCCTTCAAACCAGATGGCGATGTCGGTAGTGGAGCCGATGTAGAGCAGGTCGTCGACGTAGACGATGAGTAGGATAAAACCTTCTTCCTTCTGTAGTCGGTACATGCCTTGGTCGTGCGGCAGCTGTAGGAATCCGATTTTGACGAGGCGGTCGTGAAGATGCTGCTGCCAAAGCCGCGGAGCTTGCTTGATCCCGTAGAGGGATTTTATCAGCTGGCATACTTTTAAAGGGTCGTCGATGAATCCATGGGGCTGCTCGACGAAGATCTCGGCGTCTACAGGTGCGTACAGGAAGGCGTTTGCGACGTCGATCTGGCGCAGTGGTAGTTTCTTCGTGGCCGCGACGGCGAGTAGAATGCGCAAGGAGGTGTGACGGGAGACTTGGGCGAATGTTTCTGTGTAGTCGGTTCCGTATCGTTGATCGAATCCTCGTACGACCCAGCGAGCCTTGAATCGTTCGATGGAGCCGTCAGCGTTGGTCTTGATGCGGTACACCCACTTTCTCGAGAGGACACTCTTCCTGTTGATGTTTGTTGCAGGTACCACCTTCCATGTATTTCGGTCTTGCAGAGCTTTCAGTTCCTTTTCCATTGCCTCCTTACATTTCGACTTATGTTCCCCCCCCAGAGCCTGCGACAGGGTCGTTCGCTCGCGCGGAGACGGCGGCGGCGGGTGCTGGACGGAGACCCATAAGCCGAGTATCTGAAGTCCCGTGGGTGTGTATTGAGGGGAATTTTCATTCCCTGAATAGGCTGCTTCGTCACCATCTTCTGGATCAGGTAAGAAGTTTGGGCCGATGCGTTCTGAGACATTTGTGTTGACCGGGTGAGGTGTAACGTAACCTTGGTCAGCGAAGTGATAAAGGGTGTCGAGGTTGTTGCTATCGAGAGGATTGTCGTCGTCGAGTGGAACAGGTACGGAACAGTAAGGGAGTGGTCCGGCAGCTTCCGAAGCTCCAGGTACGTCTTCTTCTGCTGCGTCTGCCTCGGCAGCACGGTCGGCGAAGGAGCGAGGGCCCGCGAAGCCGTCGGTGGAGTCCTGTGAGTTGGCGACGTTGTCCAGGTAATGCTGCAGCGTCAGTCGTTCGTAGAAGATCACATTACGTGATGCCACGGTATTTTTGTCTTGTATGTCGAGGAGTTTCCATGCTTGGAAATGTTTTGCGATGCCGAGGTGTAGTCCCCACCGTGCTCGTTGAGTGAAGCGTCCTGCTCGTGCTGTGTGGGGTCTATACTGTACCATGCAGCCGAAAACCCGAAGTTATTTTGTGCTGCCCCTTTTTCGTGTCCACAGCAGGTGCGGTGATGCGTTGTTGGGAAGCGAAGACGAGGATAACAAATTGTGCAGGTGGACTGCATGGGTCATCGCGTCTGGCCACAGTGTGTTGGGCAGTCTCATCCCAAGGAGCAGCTTCCGCATCGTCGTCTGCAAGGTCCGGTTCATTCTTTCTGCGACCCCCTGCTGCTGGTGAGCGTAGGGCAGAGACACCAGGCGTCTGATTCCTCTCTCCGCCAAGTAGTTCCTGAATCGTTGTGACTGGTATTCCAGTGCGCCGTCTGACTGGAAGCTCTTGAGCTTAGTTCCTGATTCTCGTTCAGCGATGGGGAGCCACGTCGTGAAGGCTTCGAAAGCTTGATCGCGCGTCTTGAGGTTGTAGTGCCAGACATATCTTGTGGCTGCATCGATGAACGTGATGACATAGTTGAAGTCGGCTTCAGTGTCGTCTCGAGTCATGTTTAAGATGTCGCTGTAAACTTTTTCCATCGGTGCGTATGCAGGTGCGCTTGGGTTGTGATGTGATGGAAAAGGTTGGTGGGGAAGATCGGCTTCGGGGCACGTGAAGCACCGTGCGCGTGGTCGTCGAAGTTCTTGGCCGCTTGTTGTTAGGAGAGCGTTTCGTTCAAACACTTCGGCTTGGATGGTTTGTAGTACTGTGCTATTTGCAGGGTGCCCGGGGCGTTGGTGCCAGATGTCGTCGGGAGCGCGATGGCCCAGCGAGCGTTGGTACATGTCGGTGTTGGAGAAGAACGCGACGACCGTGGCCGGACTTCGGCAGACTTCTCGTGTGATTGGCATAAGTTGATCTGCTTCGGTTGGCGGTCCTCGGATTGCTGGTGATGGTACTCGGCTGGGTCCCGCTGCTGTTACTTCAGGTGATGTCGAGGAAGGGACGCTTGCTGGTAGTTGTCTTTCTTGTCGAATGACTGCTAACGCTCGTGTTCTCTCTGCTGCATGTATGGTGTTGGAGTACCAGAAACCATCTGGGGTGAAATCGGGGTCAAGATCCGGCGGGTGCGTCCATGCGGCGAACGACACGATGCCATCGCTGTCGGCAGTACCGCGGTCGGGGACGAAATCCAACACGAAGACGCCCGACTTCAGGAGAGCGCGACCGATGAAAAGACCGCCCTTCCCGTGGTCAAGGCGAAATTCGTTGGAGTAGGAGTCGCATTCCAGGTGAATCCCTTTTGCCATTAACTGGCTGACGCTGAGTAAGTTGTATCCCAAGTTGTCGACGATGAGAACTTTGTTGAGTTGCAGTATAACGTTTGTCTCCATGGACTGCAACTGAACCACTCCTTGTCTGTTTGTTTTCAGGTTCTCGTTGTTGGCGACGATGATGATGACATCGCGGTTGAGGCGTCGCTCTCGCTGCACGAAGCGCCCGGAAGAACACATGTGTTGGCCGCAGCAGCTGTCCAAGAACCAAGTGTTTCGCCCGGTGGGTTCGGCGTTGGCGACTGCAGCGTATGTCGGGTTAACTTGAAGTCCTTGTGAGCGCGGCGGCGACAGTTCTTCTTCGTCTGGAGCGTAAGTGGGTGGTGATCCGGGTGCGCAGTTGTCGATGTGTACCATGCAGTTGATGATGTTCGGTGTGCCTTGTGCAGATGTGGAGGAACGCCTCGGCGGGCTTTCTTGAGTGGAAGCGACGTGCGGGTCTACTGGTCGATAAGCTCGGGGGCGTGTGCAGTTGACTTTGGAGTGTCCGGATGTTTGACATTTGTGGCAGAACGGCGGCACAATGGTGAGTCCTCTGTTGTCGCGTTGATCTTGTTTGCCGCGTCGGTTGTAGTTGTTGTCGTTCCTTTGTTGAGTGTAGAAAACTAACGGTTGCTGTTTCCTTGGTTGCCTTTCTTCAAACAGGTCCATCTCCTGTTGTTCAGCATGGAGCTCGGCGCAGAGGTGCATCTCCGAGATTCTTCCGTGGGCGCGAAGAAGCGAGCGGGTGGTTCTCCATTCTGGCCCGAGCCTAGCGAGGACAAGCGTCACGAAGCTTTCTTCAGTGATTGGTCCTCCGCACCGAAGCAGGCGGTCGCGGAGTGTCTAGTAGCGGCTCATATACTGCATCGCCTTTTCCCCGGTCTTCATCTGTATTGTTGTCAACTGCTGCATGAGTCCGCTTTGTGTCACGCTGTCGTTTGCTTGATAGAGACACTTGAGATGATGCCATGCGAGTTCCGCGAAGTTTCCATAGCTCCGATACGTTCTGATGCTTTGCTGTTCTTGTGGTGACAGGTTCCGCAGGAGAACTGTGTACGCCAGCAGCGACTGATAAGTAAATATTTCTTGCTCCTTTGCAGTGCCATTGCTTGGAAATGGCAGGGACCCGTTGAAATATCCCAAGAGGTGCGCAGCCTCCATCAGCAGCTCGAACTCAAAGCTCCAGGTAAAGAAGTCGTGTCCGTTGAACGGTGAGGATGTCTGCAGTTTGATGACGTGTGAAAACTGCGCCTGGAGACTAAGTATCTCGTTTGGTGTCTGTTGTGATGCAGCTGCTGTTGGTTGGGCACGGGGCGGCATGAACTCGAACGTCCCCGGTGAAGAGTGATAAGGCGCAAAGGTAGGCGCTTGATTGTGTCGCCCGAACGATGAGTTGTCGAGGCTCATCAGTGGTTATCCCATGTTTCCTCCGTTGCTCTATGTTGAATGCGCAGGTGTCCTTGTCTGCTGCTGCTGGTCGAAGTGTGACATGAAGCTGAAGAACGTTTCCATAAGGTTCGGGTCCACGCTTGAAGAGGGTGATGGGGTCACGATTTCTGGTGCCCTTCCTGTTGTTTCTTGAGCAACGCCGGTCTCGGATTGTAGTCCTGAAGTGTGCAATCCAGAGTTGCCGTGTTGGGAGTCTTGGCCGCTGGGTGAGCCCGTAGAGATCTTCTTGCCCTTGTTGTCCATGACTTATAATTAATGAAGCTTTGTTGAAGTTGTTGAATGTAGATAAAGCGTAGTTGCTGGGAGTTCGGTCTCTGACCAGCTCTCATACCATGTTGGGCTAAGAAATAGCCCTTAGGATCTTTCCAGAAACTAAGTCCCAGTTGTAAAAGAAGATTTTGAGTAGTGCAGCGGAAGTTGAATAGTTGAACCCTTGTACTAGTATGTGAGAACAAGTGATTGATTAAAAGAGCAAGCATACAGCAATATATAGAAAGTAGGAAAGTGAAGCAGTTGTAGAATACATTTGAAAGGGCGGTTATCGAGTCGCACAGCGACTCGATTGTCGCTTCGGTTACCATCCTTGTAGTTGTAACGGTCAGTTGCAACCTCCGGTTGCAACCCTTCGAGTCCTTTCGTGTTCTTTGTCCATTCCCTCGTGTAACCTCCGTTGACTCGTGTACCCGTTACGATCTTCCTCGAGTGTGGTGTTACACTTCAGAAACGCTTAAGTCCTTGAGATATTTCCAACACATGTGAATACTCTAGCGCACAGCGACATCAACACCCTGGCGGTGCCTGAGCAGGGGCACGCGCACCTTGAAGCACTCAAACTCCTTGTCCTTGGAATAGAGGCAGTGGTTGTGGTGGCAGCCCAGGCGGGAGCAGAGGCGTGGACAGGCTGATATATACATGCAGTCGTTGGGTTTGTCCACTGTAACGGAGAGGTTGTTAAAGAGTACGCACTCCCTGATCACATCAGCTGCAGCTAGCTTCTCCATGACCATGATGGCCTGTTGGGAGAGGAATAGGAGACAGAGGGATTATGTAAAAAAATGAGTCAATTCCAGAATGTACGCACTTGGTGACGCGATCAATGGCTGACCCCTTTACCAGTGTCATCACGGCCTGTTGAAAGCCGTAGAGAGCATTAGACAGAAATTGTTCAAGGGGGGGAAGCAAATAAAACAATTCTTTTCGTCCCTTGGACAAAAAGAATTACTGGATAAGGAGGCAACTACGGCACCAAATCAGAAACCCTGCCCTAATCAGCAAATGGATCGAGCTTGGGGTCGTGCAGCAGCATATTCAGCGGCAGACTCAGCGGGTCAGCGGGTCAGCTGAATCAGCAGATACATCGAGGGGAGTCCCGCCCTCTCTATTATGGGTTTTCGGTTTCCTTATAATCCATACTTACGGATTGGGTCGTCCAAAAACACCTTGGCCTTTGCGACGGCACCAGGAACGAGTGGTTCCTCAGGCTTACCCACACGTGACTCAAGCCATCCTCACCTTGATCGCTTCAGCAAACGGGGCGAGCTTGGGGTCGTGGAGCAGCAGGTTCAGCAGCAGCTGGTCGTCCAGACACGCCTTGGCCTTGCCGAGCGGCACCAGAAACGTGTGAATCCTCCCTCCAGCCAATCAATGTCCCATTACAAGCCTCACCTTGATCGCTTCAGCAAAGGCAGCGAGCTTGGGGTCGTGCAGCAGCAGGTTCAAAAGCAGCTGATCATCCAAGCACCAGGCAGGCATGTGTGGCTCTGCAAGCCTTACTCACACGTGACTCAAGCCCTCCTCACCTTGATCGCTTCAGCAAACGGGGCGAGCTTGGGGTCGTGGAGCAGCAGGTTCAGCAGCAGCTGGTCGTCCAGACACGCCTTGGCCTTGGCGAGCGGCACCAGGAACGTGTGGTTCCTCAGGCTGATCTCCGCGAACAGCAGCGGCGGCTCCTGCTGCGAGTCCGCGAACACCCCCACGCACACCTCGCCCAGCTTCTCAGACTCCACGCAGCGATGCCAGACTAACTCCGCATCCTTTAGGAGGGCATTCTCGGCATTCTTTCCTGATTTCTCAACGTCGTCGATATCCTTTTCTGCGTCAGATGCTTCGTCGGCGGCCGATTCCGCGGCATGTGCTGCCACGTCGGTAGCGGCGTCCGTCGCGGCGCTCGCCACGTCAGCAGCTGCTACACCCGCGACGGCGTCGGCAGCTTCGGCGCCGGAGCCTGCGCCTGCCACGTCAGCAATACCGTCCACCGCCTCGGTCCCTAGCACCATGGCCGCTCCTGTACCAGTGACAGTTGGCACCGCTGCTGCTGCCACTGCAGCGTCTGCTGCAGCTTCTGTAACTGCTGTGACTGCTGTGGCTGCTGTGTCTGTTACTGCTCCTCCTGCTGCTGCTCCTGCCGCTGCAGAAGCATCTCCTATAACCTCATCCGCGATCGCACGAGCTTCGTTCGCCGCTTTCACTGCGTCTGAGGCGAGCTCCCCTAGAACGCTGCTCTGACTGCTGGTGGGAGTCGGCTTCGGCTTCGGTCGGAGGGTTGCCTGCGAATCTGCTGGCTGCTGCACCGCCGCCTGCTGCTCGACCTGCACGAGCGACCTGTAGGCGCGTCGGGATAGGGCGCACAGAAGGGAGGTCTGGATCGAGTTGCTTGCGGATCTATCGCGTGTTGCACCGCCGCCTGCTGCTCCATCTGAATGGCTTAGAACGAGCGGTGGGTTAGATCAAACAGCAATGGTTTATTCTAACGAAAATAAGAATGGAAGATTCGCACTAACGATATTTAAGTTGGAGGTATGGGAGAGAGTGTTCAGAGGAATGAGAGACATTTAGCGGCAGGTGGTTTCATAGAAAGTATGCCGTGCAGATTTCACAGCGTCGAGACAACATATCTAATTCCCACGTGCAACTGCCGTGAGCACCATTTCATGGCAGGGCATTCAAATTTGGAAAACCACCAAGTTTCATGAGACATACCTAACGGCAAAAGAATGAGGCACGCATAGCAGGACAGTGAGCAGAACGACGAAGAGAGGAGAACGACGCGCCATGGCGGACAATGCTGACATCCACCTGTCTCAGCACAAAGCCAACAGAGATCTTGGAATTTGTTCCTCTATTGCTCCCCTGCAAGTCGCCCTGCTCGTGCTCTTTTGGCAACTGGAAAGCAGATTGTGAGACAGAGGGTATGGTGCTTGGAGTTTCAAACCGAGAGAGGTTGAAGGCGGTTTCGTCTGCTTCTGTCAGATACAAGCGGCGTACAGTGTGGTGAAAGTTCTAAACCAGCTGTTCCGAACCCGAAGTACCGCGCCCTGACCTGAGGGGGGCTGGGAACCCTCCCTGGTTCACAACTGCTGAATGGGGTGAGCCAGTGGCGAGGGGGAGGCTGGGGGAAGAAATACACGGATGCGTGAACGATATGGCGCAAAATGGTGGAGGGAATGGGCGGAACGAAGGGCGGGCTGCGGGTGCTCTGTGCTCCCTGCTCACCCGTTCCGCCACCACCCTCTTGCGCCCAAACCAGCCAAACCTCATTTCTCAACCTCCTCTGCTGCTGAGGCTCGACGGGGAGGTTTGGCTTTGATCGGACTCCAAGCTGGTTGATTGACACCAAGACCGAGGCGTATTCTGTGTGTGATGTTACGAGCTCAAGAGATTTCCCACAGCAACAACCAGCAAGAGCGTCCAGCTCCTTTTGTCGAACCAGAAACGCAGCTTCAATCCTGGCCCTCTTCAAGTCGTCTCAACTCAATTAGAGACGGACGAGGAAAGTGTTTCGAGACTTGCTTCTCTAAATACGCTAAAGGCTCAGAGGCCTAGGGGGGGACAAGAGTGGGTTCGAGTGGACCAGAGCCACCGTGGATTCGTGAAGGCTTGACGCAAGCCCGTGCCACATCATCGTCCACGTGGGCCGTCTGAACCTGCTTTGGTGTTTCTAGCTGAAATCTGGAATTGGCAGAAAGTGGTTACGGGAAGTATTTACCTATCTCAAAATCGCTGGGTGGCATCAACGTGGAGATAGATCCTAAATATGATGGTCATTATCGATGAACGCATGGAGTTTTTGTCCAGAAAATCCACTCTACATACGACCGTGTCCACCCAACCTAACCTCCAGCACCCTCAGCCATAGCCACACCAACAGAACGAAGTGTTGGAAAAGGAGATCCATATTTTGTACAAAATGTGCAACCACCGCAGAGTCTCTCGACATTTTGTATGCGGTGGTTGAAAGGGAGATCCAATTTTCTTTGTAAAAATGTCCAGAGGCTCTGTAACCATGCAACCACTGCAGAGCCCCTCGACATTTGTACAGATGCCCAGTAACTAGGCCGACACAACTGAAGGGCATTTTCCCCCTCTCCCCATCACCCTCGCCTTCTTGACCCCCAAGCAGGCCGCCCAAGAGCACCGAGGCTGGATTTGAATGGTGAGGAGAAAGACATCGAACCTGGGCGAGAACTCTTCACCCACCGTTGCCTTGCGTTCCCAGCATAAAATATGCTTTTGAATCATCGTGGAGCAAGGGTGTTGCATCCATCACGATTCACACCTGTCCTTCACCCGCCTCGTCTACTCTCCCTCCGTTTCCTCTTCATTTGCAGCTCTGTCAGCGCAGTCTGCGTAATAGCGCACGCCGAGACTCAGCATTCACTCTCCGCATTGGGCGTGCTTATTAATCGTCGTCAATGTGCGATCGCTGCTGATTCCGACCTTCGTGCATCCGTCACCCGCGTCGCGTCGAAGCCGCATTTGTTCGTACGAGGCGACTCGTGTTTGGTCGTACTACACTCATGACAAAGGTTCCGCTGTTCAGACCAATTTCACTAGCGTGGTAGGCTACCCTGAGGCACTGTGACAGTAAACGACGGTAAACCAGACAGTAATTGTTTTCGCAATCGCTTTGCTCAAGTAGTTCCGCTAGTAGCGCCGCAGGGATCCACTCTCACAGCTATCTCGTAGCACCCGTCGCGAGTAGCGGAATTTGACCAGAATATACGAACAGCTAGCATCAGAACAGTTCACAATGGCGAAGCCGTCGCGCGACATCCTCGACACGGCCGTGGCGTTCCTCCAGAAGCGCGACGGCACCGACAAGGCGCTCAAGATCTGCCGCTACTCCGTCAAGCTGCTCCTCGCCGTCGCCCTGAAAAACTCGCCGCCGGAGTCCGAGGCCGTGCGCCGCCTGAAGAGCTTCGAGTCGAGCGTCGGCGCGAGCCGGAAGGCGCTGCGGATCGGCAAGTTCCTGCAGGACGTGGACGCGCTGAGGAAGGCGCCGCCTTACTCCACCACTGAGGGGTTTTTGGAGCTGATCGCGAGCGGCGGCGAGGGTGTCTACTACTTTGTTGAGCAGCTCGTGTGGCTGGTAAGCAGAAGGCTCTCTGTACCTCACACATTGCATTGCGCCTTGGACAGGCGGGGATTAAGACAGACTGAGCGCGTCTTTTCGAAACCCAGCAAAAACACAGGCCAAATCGTCACTACAAGCTGAGTGCACGTGCATGAGCGAAGGACAGAAACGTAATAAGTGTGGTGCATAAATAACTCCACTCTACTCTTCTCTTTTTTCCCCTGATTTGCATCAGGTCAAGACCGGAACCATTGACAAGAGGCACTCGAGGCATTTCCAGAAGATCAGCGCATGGGCGGAGTTCATAGGGTATTTCGGAAGTGTAGCCCTGAAATCCATCGAGATAACCACCCTCGTGCAGAAGGAGCGGTCAGTTTCGCTGCAGATCACAAGCCAGCCAATCAGCAACGGCGGATCCTGCATATCTTCCCACCAAGATGGTAGCAGTAGCAGCCAGGATGTGACGTCATCAGAGGAGAATGCAACAAAGGTTCTGAAGGCGCTTCAATTCAAGCGGCTATTAAAGACGTTGTCTTTAATCCAGGACCTGTCAGACGCGCTCCTGGCTCTGCATGATATTCTAGAAGATTCTGATGGCAAGAGCCCTCTAGGGAATCCCGCACTGCTGGCTGCTTGTGGGCTGCTGTCTGCCTTGATATCCATACACAAGAACTGGGTGTCAGTTTAGGGGCAATGCTTTTCTTAACATATGATTTCGTGTCTGTATAGCATCTCGTTCACTGTACACATCACACACCTCTGCACAGATATCCATGTCAACAAATATATTTATATAGCTTAGCTATGTCATATTTATTTATAGCCTAGCTAATTTAGTTCTTAGTGAGTACAGCTCTAGTTTTGTATCCCTCTATATTTTTCCTTAGTCACACTTTCCCCGGTACTCTAACATGGTATCAGAGCTACCGTAATCCCCCATATATATAACACCCGCCGAAATAGTCACTCCGCGGGTGGTTTATGCGGGGGAGAGCTTATTCTCAAAGAAGCTTAGGACACTAACTAAACTTAGGAACCTAGCTTAGCTAGGAAGGAAGGAAGGACGCCATGGAATCAGGGTTTCAGCTAGGATTTTAGGCCGTCTGACGTTCAGACGGGGTTTCAAACTTTCGTCTGACCATCATACGATTTTTTTCTGCCGGTCTGGCATTTCAGACGAAACATTTGGCACGATCTGACAATTCAGACGAAACGTTGCGGGAGTTTCAGTATATAACAATGCCGAATGTGCTACATTATAGTGCTACACATGTTAACGTAGAAACGAATGATTACTAGAGGTGGAAACCTAGAACAAATACTAGTTGGTTGTACTCACTAGAAGCATACCTCAGTCTAGCCTATAACTTCTACATAGATAATATGTATAAGTTGACACACCCCCTAGGCTAGACAAGGGGTGAAACTAAACAAGAAGCAAACAGCTCAGGGCGGCACTACTAGTCCAACCACTGAGGCAGGGGTCTGGAGACCAGTCAGCAAGAATACAACCAAAACTGAAGCAAGCCAGGGTGGCACTACTAGTCCAGCCACTGGAGGTAAGGCCACAAGGCCAGTCTGACAAGCATATATAATAGAGAGTACACAATCAGGATCCTAACAGGGGAGCAGCTATAGGAACAAGACCAAGCTGTACACAGTGCCGCTGATGATCTTTAGGCGCAAGCGCCTTAGTAAAGATATCAGCTGTGTTGGCACCTGAGGCCAAGTGAACTACGCGGGCCTGGCGGCGCTGCTGTAGCTCGCGCAGGAGGAAGTACCGCAGCTGGATATGCTTCGCTCTGCCCTCAAGCCGAGGCTCCTGACACAGGAGTATCATGGCCCTGTTGTCAGCGTACAGGACCGGGGCAGAGCTAGGCCGCTCACCTAAGTCTGTGAGCAAGAAGGTCAGCCAGCGGAGCTCCTGTGCCGCCATGGCACCAGCGTAGATCTCAGCCTCACAGCTAGACTGAGCCACAGACGACGAGCGAGTGGATCTCCAAGAGATAGCACCCGAACCAAGGCTGAAACAGTAGCCCTGCGACGACCTGAGCGTCTCAGCGTCGTCTGCCCAAGAAGCGTCTGTGTGCCCAGTAAGGACCACTGGCCTGCGTCCTCCTAGCACTAACCCCATGCCTGATGTACTAGCAAGATAACGCAAAACCCTCTTAGCGGCAGACCAGTGCTGAGGTCGGTGTCTGCCTGTAGCCACAAAGCGAGCCAGGATGCTGAGAGGGTATGCGAGATCTGGGCGAGTGCAAGTCATCAGGTACATGAGGCAACCCACCAGCTCTGCGTAGGGGCCACTGGGCTCTACTGGCTCCTCAGGAACGGGAGCAGAGAGCCCATGGTCTACGGGTAGAGGTGTGGGCTGTGCGGAGGAGAACTGAAGACCGAACCTCTGAAGGACCTGACGCACCAAGTGTGACTGGGTCAGAGTGATGGTGCGTGCTGCTCTGTCCCTAGAGATCTGCAGGCCAAGATAGCGACGCAGCTCTCCAAGGTCAGTGCAGGTGTGTCTCTTCAGCAGCTCAGCCTTCACAGAGGCCAGTGCGTCCCTGTCAGGAGTAGCGAAGACCAGGTCGTCTACGTAGACAAGGATGTAGAACGGAGTCTGGCCGGAACGCACAAACAGTGAAGGGTCAGCAGAGGACGGAAAGAACTGCAGGTCTGCTAACGTGGCACGTAGCGTGTCGTGCCACTCGCGGGGAGACTGACGCAGGCCGTAGACCGGGCGCCTGAGAAGCCACTGGGTCCCAGGAGGGAAGGTACCAGTGAAGCCCGGTGGTCGGCGCAGGTAGACCTGCTCGTGTAGGCTGCCCGGAAGAAAGGCAGTAGAGAAGTCGAGGGAGTGAAGCTCGTAGTCACGCTGTGCTGCTACGTGTAGCAGCGCCCGAAGAGTGGTCATCTTCGGGGTCGGGGCGAAGGTCTGGAAGAAGTCAACCCCCTCGCGCTGACTGAAACCTCTGGCCACGTAGCGCGCCTTGACAACAGGCGGCTCTCCAGGGGGGCGCTTCACCTTGAAGAGCCACCGACCATCGACTACGTTCACCCCAGGCGGGGGAACTGCGTCGACGTAAGTGCCGGTGGATCTCCAAGATGCCATCTCCTGCTCCATGGCAGCTATCCACTGAGAGGCCCAAGGTCCCGAGGTGGCCTCAGCGTAGGTGCGAGGGGTCGGGATGTCGAAGGCGTCTGGGTCACCCTCAGGGACTAACAGCATGGAGCAGAGATGGGGAGCAGCCTCGGAAAGGAAAGCCAACTCGTACTGCCTGTCCTCTAGGACGTCACTGCCAAGGGCAGGAGCACCCCCGACGGACAGAGGACGGGCAGGGTCAGAGACCAGAGCGGTAGCGTAGTCAAGGCGGCGGGTAGAAGCGAAGTCAGCGACAGCAGCGACAAGCGCGTCAAGGCGCGAGACAGGAACAGCAGGGTCGGTAACAAGAGAGGCAAGGACTCGAGGGACAAGGGGACGAGCAGCACGGAGGTAGTCAGAGAACGGAGGAGGTGCAACAGCAAGGGACGAGGGAGGAGGGGACGGGAGGAGGGGAGGACGAGACGAGTGGGAACGGAGCAACATAGGGTGGGTGGGCAGGACAGGAGAGACGGGACGAGCACGGGAGGGACGGCGAGCCCAAACGTGAGACGGAGGGGTAGGGTCAGGGGACAGCGGAGGAGACACAGGAGGGGAACGAGGAGGAAGACGGGCCGGAGATGAGTCTGGCGGCGGGAACACAGGACCGTAGGCAGGGAGGTCAGGAGGCGGTGGGGGAGACACCGGCGCGCGGTCCGGGGAGGGAAGGCCGAGCAGGCGGAGAGCGGAAACCGGCGGCGACGGCTGCTGCGGCGGCGACGACGGCTGGGCCGGAACTCTCGGACCAGCAGAGGCAGAACGACCGTCGGCAGAACACTCAACAGCAGCACCCCCAGAACCAACACCCCCAGAGCGAGAACCCCCTCCAACACCAGCGGCACCCCCAGAAGCCGCAGGACGAACACCCTCCTCCACACCAGCACCCCCAGGGGCCGAGAGCAGCGGCGGCAGTGGCGGCAACGGCTGCGGCGGCGGCGACAGCGGCGACGGCTGCGGCAGCGACAGCGGCGGCGGCGGCGACGACAGCGGCGACGGCTGCGGCGGCGACGGCGACGGCGGCGGCAGCGGGGTCGGCGACTGCGACAGTGGGGGCGGAGGCACCGGGGAAGGGGGACGCGGCAAGGACGGACCGGGGGTACCACCAGAGTCAGCAGACTCCTCAACGGGGACAACCGACGGGAGGGGAGTGACGTGGGAGACACCAGACGGGGCAGGACGAGGCGGGAGAGGGGCAGGGGCTACCGGGGGAGAGGGAGCAAGGAAAAGGGGGGGGGCAACTGGGAGACCTCGGTGAGGGAAGCGGCGGTAGAAGGAGACGGACTCATCAAAGGTGACGTCACGAGAGTGGAGGAAGCGGTGAGACGGCGGGTGGTAGAAAAGCCAGTCAGACGAGTCCAGGGGGAAACCGAGGAAGACACAGGGGACAGTGCGGGCAGTGAGCTTGTCCGTGCCAGAGGCACGAACGTGAGCAAGGCAGCCCCAGACGTGGAACGCAGACGCGTCACCGGGGGACCCGGTCCAAAGGAGGGTCGGCGAAACCTGCGGCCGCTGGGAGCGTGGCCACAGGTTAAGCTGGTGAGCCGCGTAGCGAACAGCGAACGGCCACAGAAAATGGGGGGCATCGGCATGGATCATGGAGGTACGGGCGACCTCCATGACCAAGCCGATGCGGCGCTCAGCAACCCCATTCTGCTGTGGCGAGTCCGGCAACGTGTACGACTGGGTGATGCCCTCCGCACGACAGAACTGTCCAAGCCGACCAGAGGCGAACTCGCCGCCACGGTCGGAGTGGAGACACAACACGGGGAGACCGCGGTGGAGACGCGCAGCCACAACCCACGGGAGAAGAACGTCGGGCACGTCGGCCTTCCGCTCCAGGGGAAACACCGTGGTGTAGCGCGTGTAGTCGTCGACAAGCACAAGGAAGTAGCGCTCACCGCGCGGTCCGGGGACGGGGGCAGGGCCCCCAAACGTCCAAGTGCAGGGTCTGAAGGGGGGCAGTAGCAGGACGCAGCGAGGAGGAGTGAGGAGCACGGCGGAGCCGACCCTCGACGCAAGGCGTGCACGGTGGCGCAGTCGAGGGAGGAAGGGCAGGGAGCGACGCGGGGAGACCTAAGACAAGACCGTGCTGGGACATGTGACGCAGACGCGGGAGAGCAGGGTGACCTAAGCGGTGGTGCCAGAGAAGGGAGGGGTGAGTGAGGGACCGACACGAGCAAGCTGCAGCGACCTGGGAGGACGCACCAACCGGGGGGGAAGCGGTGTGTAGGGTAAACAGACCGGACACCGGGTCCCGGGGGAAAGTCGCAAGGGGGGAACCTGAGACAGCCTCAGAACAGACAGCGAACCGCTCGTGCCCGGGGAACGTGGTGGTGACGCCGAGGTCCTGGAGACAGCCGACACCAACCAGGTTCCTGGAGAACGAGGGAACGTGGAGGCCAGTAAGGGAGCCCGAGGGAACTGCCGGACAGGGAAGGGACGTAGAACTGCGCGCGACGACCGGACCCGCAGAGGGGTCAGCGAGAGAGACAACAGCAGGTGCAGCAAGCGGCGTGAGCGTGGAACGGTCGCGGAAGAAGCAGGCAGAAGCACCAGAGTCGAGAGTGAAGGACAGCGACGCAGTGGCGGGGGCCGGGGACGGAGCCGGTGCAGCGACTAGACTAGGCAACCTAGGCAGTCCTACGCCTGTCGCAG